TAGACGTCCAATGCTCCAAACAATCATTTAACATTGAACATTAACATTGAACATTGAGAAAGAGCCCATTGGTGCTCTACAGGAACATTAAACGGTGGAGGAGACGTCGGAGTCTAGCACACGAATTCCAAGTACTCATTTGAGCCAAAACATGTCAAGAACTTATATGCCGGCACACAGGATATGCAATCAAAGAAACGATGCAAGAAACATTTTAAAGTAACGTTGCAAGTAGTTTAAGGTCACTCACCTCCACGGCTAATAATCCTTGTCCAATATAGCTAAATACCAAACCAGAACCGTAATTGCAGGTTTGCAAATCACACTATGCTGTAATCAGTACAACTCAGTCTATGCAGGTCCAAATGCATTGATTCCAAAGGCATGCGGTAGCTAAGACATCAAGCTACATTTCATCAGAAGACACCAACATCCAAATCCAAAGAAATTCCAGTCAAAACATCCAATTTCAGACGCAGTTCGTACATTCTGATCAACCCAGAACAGCAACAGTAAAATCAACATATCTCATTCTACACTACTCCAATTGCCCTGATATTTTACAGGCACCTCAAAAACATCAATACCTACAACTTTCATGTTTTAAGCAAAGACCAATTCGGCCTCTAACCATATGATACAAAACCGGACAGAAAGGGGGTTATGAAACCCTAACTTTTCACATTTCCTTCCAAATCCAAAATTGGTTGCAATTACCAATCATTTATACCTACTAGAGTCATTAACCATCAATTCCCATCATCAAAGATATCCACAACCTCACATTCATATTAAACCAGAAAATTTCTCAATAAATTGAAAACTTCACCATCAATTCCTTCAACCCATGACATACTCCACAAAATAACACACATGGCCACCACAAACCATTAATTAACCAATACTAGAACAAAAGTAACTTGTATATTCAACTCACCTCAAATTCAAGAGAGCTACCAACTTAGAGCTTCCCTTCAAAAACCAATCCATCCAAAGCTTTAAACCACCATAGTGCACCCTTGTGTGAAATATTGTCCAAAACCATCGGTGAAATCACAAGATTCAAAGAAGGAAATCAAAGGGAAGAAATGGAGTTTTTTCTTTTCTCTCAAAGCTCACGGACGAACCAGGGAAGAAATGAGATATTTTGGGTGCAAAAGTGGAATAAAAAAGGAGGAAACAGCCGGTCAAAGCTCATGACCGACTCTGCCACGTCAGAATCCGGCCGGAATCTGGCCGGATTCAAGGCAGTGGCCAATTCAATTTTTTTTTCAAAACTGCAAGGCAATCCGGCCAGCTATCCGGCCGGATTTGGCCCCTGTCATTTTTCAAAACTTTTCTTTTCTTTTCCAAGTTGAAAAGCTGTGCCACTCCGCTCAAACAACAACTATATATATCAAATGCAAACCCTCCTTCATACGGGGCATCACATGATGAGCGGTGTGTTTATTTTCATTTATTTACTTATATTTGCTTACTTGTATCGCGCTTTGTATTTAGGGGTAAGGAGCGATCTTACCCTAGAGATTTCATGCATATTTAATGGTAATTAATCTCTCCTCTCAAAAGAGTACTTCATACTTGCATACGCTATTCCTTTCGAACCCTTCATTTTTTTTTTTGCTTTTAGTGGTTGTCATATCACTCTTGTCCATTAGGATTAGGATCGATCCACCTAGACATGCTGTCACGATCCCACCTTCCCCTAGGGCACACCCCAGGGTTTAAAGGACCGCCTGCCCAACTCTCGCCAGGACTCACTCTCACTTATGTCAGATAAAATAGTTCACAACCTCAAAAGTCAATGAAATAACCGTTCCCAAACTTGAAACATGCAGTTACATTCATTTCTATCACGAGCAGTCTTACAATCCCAAATATAACAAAAGATATGAGTTTCAGATACATTAGTCCTAATCGAGCGACTAGTGCGAGTACAATTGCAAAATTTCAAAAACTAGACTATGCTAGCCTGTACTAGTCTCACGCCTTGCTCGTACCCCCTGTAAGGAAAACAAATCTAATAGAGTAAGCTAAATCTCAGTGAGGTTGCAAATAGCAAGTTGATCATTAATTAAAAGTGAAAGTATCAAAATAGCAAAGTAGCGAGCATATCAAGTCAAGAAAATGAGTAATAACACTTCGTAATACCAATCGCTGGATATTGAACATATCAAGTAAAAGGATACAGCCGCTATTGCAAAATAGCTCCGCCATAGCTTGATCAAAGAGTAGTTGACACTCCGTCAACTTTCGAATAATGTAATCAGTCCAGTAGTGCCCCACTTAACACCAATCTCCGTCCACCATTCAACTCCCTTACCGGGCCTGAACGTTCAGATAAACACATGTGGCAATACTCGAGTATACCAATTAGTTAAGGACATATCACTCCACTCGACAACACTAGAGACCTAGGGTGCGTTATCTAATCGACCAGACCCTTGCCGACTCGACTCGATTAACTAGCCACAGGGTTTCTGGAATTCCAGACAAGATACAAATCATATGCATGTATATCAAGTCAATTGCAACCAATGAACAAGAATATATCACATTAGGGCAAGTGCGATAAAGTAAACCCTTGCCCGACCAAACCAATCAAATATTATCCGACCACGCTGGTCAAGCATTTAAACAAGTGTCAAGTTCAATCAAGTACTTGGAAGCACTCACCAAAGATTTAGTGCTTCTTAGGATCACGTTCAGTTATTACTCCCTGTTTGAGGTCCAAATCTGCGATAAAACATCATTTAAGAGTTTGAAATCAACTAGGGTTCGAAACTCAAGCATTTAAACAAGTGTCAAGTTCAATCAAGTACTTGGAAGCACTCACCAAAGATTTAGTGCTTCTTAGGATCACGTTCAGTTATTACTCCCTGTTTGAGGTCCAAATCTGCGATAAAACATCATTTAAGAGTTTGAAATCAACTAGGGTTCGAAACTTAAGCGTTTCACTTAACGAAAATCAAGTAACTAAAATTCATTTTGGTAATATTCATGTTACTTATCAAATGCTAGAAAATTCTTGCTCACTCTTTTGGTGTTGCTAAAGAAGCAATTAAAACTTTGGAATTCGCATTTGAATCTAAAAGACGAGGAAAACGTATTTCTATTAGTCGCTACTTTCACTTTTTAAAGGGTACAAGTTTCGGTTGAAATTAGCTCATATACTTCTACTAACGGTAACTTGACTACCGTAGACAATCCAAGTTCACTTCGACTTCAAGTCGTTGCTCAATTCTCAAGTTCACTCGCCTAACCCTTGAGCGAAAATTTGGGTGGCATGCCCTTTGTATTTCGCTATTTCCAGCCATTTATGGCTTCATTATTTTCCTCAACTCAACTCAAATTCAGTACATAAGCAAGCTTAACACAATAGCTCTTCAACTAGGCTCAATGTCATCTATATACAAGTCAATTCTAGTAATGCAATCATCAAGACCAAAGCTGGAACCTAGTATTAAAGAAGAATGTCTAAGTAACAGGTTTGTCATCTTTCGGCGTTTTGATCACAACTAAAGCTACGCTTATCGGATTAGGGTAAATTTTATGGTGTTTCGAAGCTAAGACAGAGAACTACATTTCCTATGAAGACATCGATACCCAGTTCTTGCATTTTCAGGGTCAAAATTGAAATCTCAGAGAAAACAGAAAGCTGCCTGTTAAACAGGGCATTTGGGCAGTCAGGGGTATTTTAGTCATTTCATAAGATACAGTGATCAGATTGAGTTGAAATTTTGTAAGTAGATAGGTAATGTAATTCCCTACAACTTTCATGTTTTGAGCAAGAGCTGATTTGGTCTTTATCATGGACGAATATGCAGGTCAGATCGGTTCAAAGAAACAGGGCAGAATCTCTACCAATGCTGGAATTCAACTTTTACTCTAACAAAGTTACACTCAAGCCCAAAATCACTTCAGAAGTTCCATTTCTAACCTCAATAACATCATTTACTAGTTAAACAACACTAATCAAATCTGAAAAATGCAAACCCAAGCTAAACTTTCCTCTACACCATCAAAAACTAAATAATTAGCCATAGCAATCCAAGAGTAGAAGCTTCTATACCAAATTAACAAGATTGAGCAAGAGAAAATGAAGTTCAAGGTTTATACATTCCAAGAGTTGCTTGCAAGTGAAAACCAAACCACTCTCTTCCAAAAATTTCACCACACTAATCTTTTCAAACACCAAAAAGTAAGTTTAATCGGTTTAGTTTTTGAGATTTCACTCAAACAAGATGGATTCAAGGTTGGAGTTGAAGTTATTTTTTTCCCTCTTTTCCCTTTCTTGAGTGTCAGCCAACATGAAGAAGAATAAAGGAGAAATGAAGCCAATTTGGTGATAAGAAGAAAGAAAATTAGTTTAGTCAAAGTTGGTTGGATTTCCGCCAAGTGTCGCTACAAGATTGAATCTCAAAATTTTCTTTTCTCTCTCTTCTTTTAGTCCAAATTTTTGGCTGTCTTAAGAAGATATTTAGGGCTGATTTTGCTCAATTAATAACAAGGAGATTAAGGTAATAAAGTAGTGTTTAAATGGTGTATTAAATCGGTAGCAAACGGTGCACGTCGGTTCAAGCCGTTTTTCCCTAATTCGCGCGTACTAGTGTTTTAACTTATGATTCACTAACTTATTATTAACACTTCTAGACACACACTTTCCCTTATATAAAACTCACTCTTAACCATCAAATTTAGTACACACTCCGTACCGATTAATCACACTACCAAAAGATGCAAAAACCCTAGTTTACCCTAACTATGAAAGTAAAGGGAAAACTCTTAATTCTATTCTTTATTCCAACTATTGAGGGAGTAAATGAGTAGTAAAGCTATTATAAAGTAATTGATTCAAAATAAAAGGGAATTTTAAAAAAATATGAGAGATTTTACAAGTCCTCACACTCTCTCCACCTTAAGAGAATTTTGACCTCGAAATTCATACCTTTAGTAGTAAACAGCTCAGGATACTTCTCTTACATGCCTTTCTCCAACTCTCAGGTTGTTTCCTCCACCTCATGGTGTTTCCATAGAATCTTAACCAGTGGAATCTGCTTATTTCTCAAGTCCTTCACCTTCCTATCCAGTACTCGAAATGGTCGTTCCTCATAGGCTAAAGACTTGTCCAGTTCAATATCTTCTGATGGCAAAATGTGAGTCGGATCTGGGTGATATTTTTTAAGCAAAGAAACATGAAAAACATCATGGATTCAAGATAAACTAGCAGGTAACTCCAGTCGATAAGCCACATTTCCTATCCGCTGGAGTATGTTAAAAGGTCCTATGTATCTTGGTTGCAACTTCTTCCCTTTTCCTGCTTTAATCTTTCCCTTTAATAGAGTAACGCTGAGAAACACCTTATCCCCTACCTCAAACTCCAAATCATTTCTTCGATGGTCGGCATAGCTCTTTTGTCAACTTTGGGCCGTTTGAAGCTTCTGACATATCACTTTTACCCTTTTGTAGGCTTCCTCAACCTAAGGTATTGTTGCCGGATCTATGATCTTCCTCTCTCCTACTTCATCCCAATGAATTGGTGATCGACACCTTCGTCCATAAAGTGCTTCATACGGGGTCATTTGAATAGAAAAGTGATAACTATTGTTATACGCGAGCTCAACCAGGGTTAGATATTGGCTCCAACTACCTCCAAAATCTACAATACAGGCTCTTAGCATATCCTCAAGAGTTTGAATGGTTCTCTCAGACTGTCCATCGATTTGAGAATGATACGCTGTACTATAGCTCAACTTAGTTCCTAGAGCCTCTTGCAGCTTCTGCCAGAATCGAGATACAAACCTAGGGTCTCTGTCTGATACTATACTTACTGGTACCCCGTGTAATCTCACAACTTCGTCCATATAGAGTTTGGCAAGTTTCTCCAAAGAGTATTTCATATTAACTGGCAGGAAATGTGCAGTCTTAGTTAATCGGTTCACTATCACCCAAATCGTATCATAACCTCTTTGAGTATGTGGCAATCCTGATACAAAATTCATCGTTATGTGCTCTCATTTCCATTCCGATATCTCTAAAGGCTGTAACCGACCCGATGATTTTTTATACTCAGATTTCACTTGTTGACACGTAAGACATCTTTGTACAAATTGGGTAATCTCTGCCTTCATATTATCCCACCAATACAGACTTTTAAGATTCTGGTACATCTTGCCACTACCTAGATGCACCGTGTACCTAGAACGGTGAGATTCTTCCAAAATTTTCTTCTTCAGTTCTTCATCCTTGGGTACAACGACACGATTGCGAAACCTTAGAATCCCATCAGGACCTAGGTTAAAATCAGGTAATTCTCCTTTCGTCACTCTTTCTACCCACTTTTGTACCATTGGCTCTTTCTTTTGACCCTCTTTAATCCGATCTAATAATGTCGACTTCACTTCAATATTTCCAAAGATAACTTTCTGTGGCTCAAGACCAGGGTTCCATTCACATACATTTTCTAGCAGGTCCCACTCTTCTACCATTTAAACCTGCTAGTTGAGCCTTCCGACTTAAAGCATCTGCTACAACATTGGGTTTTCCTGGATAGTAATTAATAGTACAATCGTAATCTTCTAAAAATTCTACCCACCAACTTTGTCTCAGATTTAGTTCTTTCTGAGAGAATAAGTATTTAAGATTCTTAGTCATAGGATAGCCTCTCGGCTTTCACATCAATTCCAAACATAAATGTGGGGCTAACAAACGAATGAGTGGCACTAGGGTCTATCAAAATTTTGGTCAAACAATGGAAAACAGGAATCGTACCTTCCACTACCTCCGATGGTTCAGGTACCAATTGCTTGTCCAAAGAGTACACTCTGACTGGCACCCTTGGCCTAGTCCCTCCTACATTAGTTGGTTTAGGGTTTGATTTGCCAGCCGACTGAGCATCACTAATCAATGGGCAATTGGCGATCTGATGCTCAGTACTTCCACACCTTAAGCACTTTCGAGCCTTTCTCCAACAATTATCCTCTATATAGTTGGATTTTCCACAGTATCCACAAGATACTCGAGGGGCGGATGACTGGCGTCCCTGCGAGGCACCTCTCGTATGTCCCCTTCCACTTGGAGCTCCTCTCGGAGTAACTCCCCTAGATGTACCTATAAACCTTTCACCTCCAGCTCCTCGACCGACTTTAAGAGGTGGCATGTTCCGATCACTATGTGTCTACCCCTGATTTCCACCAAGCGCACCTCTCTGTTTTGCATGAAAAGTCCTTACTTGTGTTCTAGCAATTTCTATTCTCTGGGCCTTCTCCAAAACTTCCATAAAAGTATGAATTTGCGCCACCACCAAGGCCTCCTGTATTTCCACATTGAATCCCTATACAAACCTCCTTACCCTCTTTTGCTCCGTAGCTATTAACTCGGGAGCAAACTTGGATAACTTAGTAAACTGAGTCTCATACTCAGCTACACTTAGGGTTCCCTGACGGAGCTTAATGAAATCGTCTTCCCTCTTTTTCTGAACTATTGGTGGGAGATATTTCTCATTAAACTCACGTACGAAGTTTAACCAGGTCCATGCGGTTCCCTCTCTCTCCCATTTAGCCCTAACCACATTCCACCAGGCTTTGGCTGGTCTCTCAAACTGAAAGATAGCAAAATGCACATGTCTATTCTCCGCATAGTTTGAAGCAGCGAATATATTGATCATCGTTTCTAACCACCTCTCAGCTACTTTAGGGTCCGACTCTCCAAGGAACTTAGGAGGGAAAATTTTTTGGAATCTCTCTAGGGCCCTGTCTTGCCCCATTTCAGAATCCCTGGGTTGATTAACAGGGGATTGACCCTGTTGCTTTACCAGTCGAGCAAGAATATTAGTCATTTGTTGAATTGTCGTTGCCACCTGATTCCCCCTTCCGCTCGGGGTCCAGGTTGTGACAGCCCCACCTCACCCTAAGGCGAACCAAAGGGTTCAGCGGACCGCCTGCCCAACTCTCGCCAGGGCTAACGGTTCAGTTTAGAGCGATCTAGTACGTTCCGGATCTTACAAACGCGCATAAACAAGTCAAAATGTCAAAGAAAAAAATAAAACCGGAGTCGGCTATTAATAGTAACCGACCCGTCGAAACCCCAACCAATCATCCAGCAAATATTTACATGTTGAAATTTAGCAGATACAAGCCAAAGTGGCATACAAAAGTATTCAAAAGTGGATACATGTCTGGTTTGCCAAATCAAAAGAGAAACGGTCCCAAAAGTACATTTAGGGTTTCAATAAATGAGCTATACAAAAGATATGTCCAACTAGCTCAATTCGGCAACCAACTATCAATTGCAGTCCAAAAGTATTTATTTTCCTGTAAGGAAAACAAAAGGAATAGAGTGAGCTAATTGCCCAGTGAGATAATACCACTCAATCAGCAAAGTTCACATAAGCATAAAGCTTTTCATTTCAATTCATCAAAAATATGCAAAGGCACACATTAATGGTGGAGATAAAAAGGATACGGGCGGCTCTCAAGAGCCCTTTTCCTCGTTTGCATTCTTGATCGAAAGTCATTGACCCTCCGTCAATGTTTAAGAGTAACCAACCGTAGACTCCACTTTACTTCCATTCCTTCCACCCAACATATCCCTACCGGGCCCGAAATCCAAACACTTGCACTGTGGTATTACTCGAGTATACCGGAATCAAGGGTCTCAATACCCAAAGATCCCAAAACAGACTACCGTGGTTCGTTATCTAATCGACCAGGCCCTTGCCGGCCCGACTCGAGTAACTGGCCACAGGTGTTGAGCTCAATGATAACAATCATGGTCGTTGGATACTCGTCCAAACGACACCAAGTCATGTATTTTCATTTCATGTAACATTCCAATAACATGAGAAATAAGTGAGAGTGATAAAGTACACCCTCACTTCAATCAATATCAATGGTGCAATAACATTTAACTCATCAAGTTCAAGTATCAAAACCATATAGTAACACACAAGTGAGTAGTACACTCACCAAGCTTGCAAATGATATTTCATGCAACCCCGTCAATGGAACGTCGTGAACCACCGTCACGCCCTAAAACATGCAAACAAGTACAATGACACTCGATAACGAGTCATAAACCAAAGCCAAATATCACCAAAATAGGGTTCCATAAGCACACACAAGCAATAGAGGAAACCAGGAAAATCCGGAAATGGAACTAGCTTTAACCCTGAAAAAAACAGTTTTTGACATCATTTTACGGTAATGGTACCAAAGGCACTACGATTATCGGATGAAGGTCCAAGACCCACTGTTTCGAAGCTAAGAGATAGGGCTACAATATTACAGAAGGTCACTCAACCCAGTTTCAAGTGTAACCAGGTAAAAAATGCAATCGACTACACCAGAACCGCAAAAACAGACTCACAGAATGCATTCTAGTTCAAACATCATAAATCAGCCTACCTAAGTCCAAATCCAGAAATTCTAAAGCCATCTGAAAACTAGGAAACAGGGCTACATTTCATCAGAAGACCTCAACAACCAATTCGGAAGCATTCCTAGCCAAAATAACCAATTACAGAAGCAATTCGAAAATTCGGGTAAAACCAGGACAGCAAGGGTAATTTCAAATTTTCTCAAGCTACGCTACTCCGATTGACCTGAAATTTTGCAGGCACCTCTAAAATATCATTCCCTACAACTTTCATGTTATAAGACAAGGCCAATTCTGTAACGGCTCCACTTTCCCCTAAGGCGAACCAAAGGGTTCGGCGGACCGCCTGCCCAGCTCTCGCCGGGACTCAGTCAGTCACTATAAGAAAAGACCATAAAACCCACAAAACAATCGAAATAACAATAATCCCAAACTTAAACGTAAACTTTTATACATAGCCATCCCAAAAGCAATACAACTTATGTACAAAGGTTCTCCATTCTCCATACAACCAGCCCACCAAACATTGGGGCGAGAACCATAACAAAAGAATCAAAAGTACTAGATCGGCTAGTCTATACGTAGCTTCCGTCCTTGCACGTCTTCCCCTGCTAAGGAAAACAAAAAAAATTAAAGGAATGAGCTGGAAAGCTCAGTGAGGTTCCTTACACATAGGTAACAAGAGAATCAATGCATTTAATACATAAAAACAACAATTCAAGTTACAAGTACAAATAAAGCGATAAACACATTCATGAAAAGGATACGGGCTCACAAGGAGCCATTCGTTCATTCGTTCGTTCATTCATTCTCCTTTCGTTCCCCTACCTTCAATCATTTAAAATGCATTTTTGTATAAGTAAAACCCCTCATTCATTCATTCGTTCATTCATTTCATTCACCCCGTCCCTGGCTTTTGGCCAGGCTCCACCAACCTACAAGGTAATACTCGAGTATACCGAAACGTTCACCCAAGTCCCTAATCGCCCGACCGAGTCCGCTTCTGGCTCGAGACGACCGGTAACAAGGGCCAATGGCCAGTTCAGCCCAAAAGGCTTACATTCATGCACAATTAACATTTCAATCGCTCAATCATTAAAATTTCACAATCACTTAGGCTAAGTGCGATAAAATACACACTCGCCTCGAAAACTCGTTTAGCAATCATTGAAAGCATTTAACATGTTATCAATTATTCAAACAAGCCATATAATCATGAAACGTAACAAACAAGGAACACTCACCTAGTTATTGTGCACTTCTCAATCACCAATGAAACCTAAAATTAAATAAGATCACATTACTATTCATCGAGCATGATTTAGATGAAATCAAGAAATACCCGACTACGTGCGAGTAAACGTATAAAAGACTTTCAAAGGATAAAGAGGCATTTGGATCCGTGGACAAGAATAACCCTAATGCGACCCAAACCAAAAAGGGTGATAGAAGTTGTAACGGAAACACTTAACTCAAAACAATTCACATT